GCCCTCTCCTCACACACTGTTCTAGAGGACATTCTTGACTAAAAGCAGGAAGAAATTGGAAAGAAACCATGTAGCAGGCTAACAGTGCCACAAGCCAGCAGCCTGCTGCCATAAGGCTGCATACCCCTCTAGGTGAGACAATGGCAGTCAACGCGTTCAAGAGCACAGAGCCGACTTAAGGATGCGTCAATGTCCATTTTATGGAATTCATGTAAGACATGGGAGATGACAAAAAAAGATGTTTTGCTTATTTACCATTGGACAGTCTTCCCTTTTATTAAGCAGTATTCTTTAATCGGCATGAAAATTGCTGGCTCTCCTCACTACCTAATGCCAGGTGCATCCAGATGAAGCAAAAAAGGCTTTGGTCTCAAAGTCACACATTCATCAGCTCTTGATGAATGTCTGCAACCCCTCTTCCCTCCCCAATAATCTCCTTCAAGTACCTCCAGGCTCTAATGGCAATATTCTCAGTAATTAAGGTTTTGATTTCAAATTTGTCTAAAGCTGCCTAGAGAGATATTCTGATTACCAGCCGAGCCTCAGATATGAACGATTTGAGGATTTCCCTTGCTTTCTGGAGGAAATCTGTCAGCAAGTTTCAAGATCTAATGCTAGTTTCAAGTGTTTTAGCCACGTGAATTTTTTACTTCTGTTCATAGGCTCACGTAGGAGTGTAAAATTTTCTACAGAGCAAATCTGGATGGTTTATCTTCCATCACACCAGCCTCTGGTTCTTCTCTTAGATTCTGCAACGACTAGGTAAGGCTGGAAAAGCAGATCAACAGTTTACTCTAGATGGTACTTAATACCAAGTAGCTGTCATATTACAGATTGATGCTGCTTTAGTAATTAATTCCTTCATACACTCAATAAGGTTTCTTTTTTTTAACTAGCAGTGGGCAATCAGCTTTGCAGACATGAAATATGTTTACAAAATATACATACAAATTAACCTGCATTTCTTATCTCCTCCAAATTTCAAAATAATTCAGTCAAAAACTGTAAAAATCTTGAATACTCACTTTTCTAAATACTTTCTACTCTAGATAAAAGGGTTTTAAAAAACAGTTAGTGTAACATAACCTACCATGAGACAATACTATTACTTCAGCATTTTACACTTGAAAGTGTATCAGTATTTTGAAGGAGAACCTGCAATGAAGGAAGCCTCTCAAGGAAATAAATATCATGAAAAGGCACTGACTGTCAAGGAAGTTGGTAACCTTACAGATTAACTCCTTACTCTTCCATCTTGCAGTATAAGTAGAATTCATCAGGAAAAAAAAGCCAATAGCATATTCCTTAAATTGGTGTCACTCATTCTTACTTTAGTCTGTCTGTAAGTATCGTGTCTTGAATACAGCTTCCAAATATTTTCTTTTTTGGAGAAACTGTTTTATGGGATGCATCACAAGCTGCACCATCATCAAAAATTATTAAATTCTTCCTATGTAGCAAAAATAGTATAGTAATAAAACTTCTGTCTGAAGCAGATAAACTACTGACCAACAACAAGCACCTCAAGAGATCAAAAGAACTACAGAAAGATTAGGAATGGATGTCATGAAAATAGGTTTTATTTAGAGTACTCAGCACCGATTCACAAACAGTATTATTCTGCTTGGTATCCAAATTTACTATTACATCTTCCAAATATATTAAACTATTTAATATTCAACACTAACTGCAGTATTATCTCATTAAATCATGAATGGTTAAGTACTGTGTGCTCCAAAAATATTAAACAGACAACTTAGAAGAGGTAATGGGCATTAAAGCATTGATTGGATCAGTTTGTGGTTTTTAATGTGTACAAGGTTCTAGCTGATCTGCCATTCAGAACTTGCCCTTGTTAAAGACAGCTTTCCTTTTCTCACTAAACTTAAACTAAACAGGGTACTTATACTCCAAAGGCCTCAGCTCCTCTAAGCTAATTGGCGGAAATGAGTCCAAAAATACCAAGTAAAGTGACTTGGGAAGTGGTAGCTGCCCAAGCTACCAAGCAGAAGCCAAGCTGGCTGCCTAGAGAGATGACTCCCCACAGGAGAGGACAAGTTGTGATGCACAGTGGTTGGGAGGTTGTGGGCACTAAACAGCCATGTGGACATGGTCCTAGGCAACCTGTTCCAGGTGACCCTGCTTGAGGACAGATGTTAGACAAGAGGTCCTCCAGAGGACCTTTCCAACCTCCACCATTCTGTGATTCTGTAGCAGACACTTGACAAACTCCAAGGACTACATGAATGTTTAACAGATGAGTCAAAACACATGGTGGTGATCAACAACATTGCAGAGAGTGCTTATCCTGGCTGGCAGCTGAGAGAACACACTCCTTGCACAAGTACTACACTGCCTGCTGGTGCCTAAGGGCTCTGCTGATAGCATAGGAACTGAATATCTTCAGTAGCTGGACATATCTTTAGTGGGACCTAATATAAAAAGCATCCAAAGAATGAAGGTTATACAGGTCTAACAAAAATGCTCTGTTAGTCACACCCTGAAAAACGGCTACCATACCTGACATGGAATGCACTGGGCCACTTTGTCTGCTCCTCAGGCTCACATGAACAAGGAGCACAGGGAAGAGATGGAATGGGGGCAATTATGACATATAGGCCAAGAAACAAACAGCCATTTCCAGAATCTGAAGTAATCTTTACTGTGTACTAACAGGTCTGCAAATGAAACATCTACAGGGAAATGGGTCTCTTCGGAAGAAAAACTGAGGAATCAGATGCAGGTTGTTGTGGGTTTTTTTGTTTTTGTTTTTCTTTTTCCACAACTGTAGCTGTTTGCAGGTATAGCTATTGCTAACAAAACTAGGCGTGCTTTTTCCACACAGCAAAACTAATCTGTAAAACTTCTATAGATGTATCAGAGCCTCCTGGTTCATGACTACCTTAAATACAGATTAATTACTAACAAGTGAGACATTACATCCAGACCATTAATCTTGGGGCCTCAATCTCTCCTTACAAACTTTATGAAGAACAGATGCCTAAATATTTCAGGTTATGACAGCAATGAACATAAATGAAATAAAAGTAACATTTTTATTCAGGAAAAAGTTACATAACCTAAGTCCTGATGAGCTACCCTGACCTAGAATTACTACTCCTAAAGCAGAGAGCAGCAAAAACTTAAATTCAGCCCATAAATTAAGATAAGAATTGTATTATTGACAAAAACAGTCTTTTAAAAAATCATCTTTAAATAGGAAAAAACACTGAATGAACTTTTAAGTACTCACTCTAAGGTATCAGTACTTCTCCTTGGAACTGACAGTTTCATAATTGATTTTCTGCAAACTACATTACAGTATATTCCACTTAATAAGATTTACTTTGTTACACAACAAGAAGTCTTAATGTCCAAGTAATCTACCAGCCAAAAAGTGGTAGTTTTCAAGAGCATATCAGTCTTTCCTTAAGAAAACTTAGGTGACATTTTCAAACTCTTAAATGGAGGCAATATTTTTGCTGTATCTCCTGCCCTGACATCTAAAAACAAAATTACACAAAAACAATGTGATAGCATACATCAAAATTTTCCTACTATTAATAGCCACAAAGCTATGTAATTAAAATACTTTGCATATTGGCCACCATACACTTTGCCTCAAAATATAGCATCTACATGCACACCATTTGGTGTGTTAGGTGAAGCATGCTGAAACTGTAACACCCAGAGGTTTTCATGTCTCCTACCATCCCACAGCTACAGGAAGCCTGAAACTAAAAATCCTGTACAAAAATACCAACAATGTAAGTTCTGTTTGCCCATTTACAGTTTAAAACCCCCTAACAGTAGGATTTGTTTAAATGTTCAATGTACCCCCAGCCAAAAGACAGAAGGCATTCAGGGTATAATGTTTTAAAAAAGAAACCCTCACAAATCATTAAAGACAGCATCTCCCTCCTACTTCTATAGAACCCAGACAACCAAAAACTCTAGGTTAGAATACGTTTTTGGTCAAAAGCTGGCAAGCTAAATATCCAAAATGGCTACAGGTAGAATAAGAGAAAGGGAGATGAGAGTATAACAGCAAATTATGAAAACAAGAGGCATCAAAGTTTCAAAGCACCACAGTCATAAGCTCTGGAAGGTTTGAGACTTTTAACTGGGTAGATATTAGCTTCCTATTTTAATTGTCATGTGTTACATATGTATTAATAGAATGTATTATGTGGCTGACCAGATAAGGAAAATAGGAGGTTTGCTAAACAAAGCCAAGAGAAAGAATACTTATAGGAACAAAGAAGAAGAGACTACTGTTGAGTGCACGCTTCAAAACTGCAGTGGAGATGCTGGTGCAAGTTCAGCCTTAGTAATCAGAAATAGAGGGAAACAGCTAGAAAATAAACTCGCATTAAGAAATTATTTCCAGGAGTTACACCACCAGAGCAACATGACATTCAGGATATCTCTGTGCTGAAAAGTAGAGACTGCCTATTTATATGGGCAGAGTATGTGTATTACAGGACAGGGCAAGGAACAGCCCTAATTACACTGCAACTCCACCTGAATATAAAACAAATCTAGAAACCCAATGCTTGCTTCTTAGTTCACTCAGACAGAATTCACTGCCAGAAATACATTAAGCATTTTTTCCAATCTGCACTGCTTGCACAAATCACTAGTTCAGTATTTCAGCACAAGAGAGTTAAGAAAACCTTTAATGTTTACAGCTCTACCTTAGAAAAACACATTTAACTTCAATATTCACCTTTACTTTGTGAAACATGACACAACTAGAAGTTAGTTATTACTAAGGAACATTTTATAATTGCTATTTAGACTCTCAGTTGGACCATTATAGAGCATGTGCTTTTTATTTCTACAGGGTAGGTTGTGTTATTAAATCTGTAAAAAAACACTAGATAATGAAAAACCATATAGTAAGAACACAACAAATCAGAGCAGGATGTACAGGAGCCTAGGCTCTGTTTGGAAATAAAACTGTGCATTTGAAACTACACTACCTTTCAAGAGCTTACCTTCTTTTTGTCCCTCATTGAGCCCTTCCCTCGGACCATTATCTTGCATCCTGTTTCTGCCTCAAGCTGTTTAGCTGTTAGTCCTCTGGGCCCAAGGATTCTTCCAACAAAGTTAAACTGGACAAAGAAAAGAAAAATATTATTTCTAAAAAAGCAAACACACAAAGTTCGTTTAAAATTTAACAAGATGTATTTGTGTCTCTAAAATATAATGTATTTAATCATTTGAGAATACTACACTAAATATCTGAGGTTAACGTATGATGTAAGCACTATTTTTATACGTCCAATGTGACCTCTACTTTGGGAAGATAAAAGATTCAGGAGAAAATAGGGTTTAAAATTTAACATATGGTAGTCTAGGACAGTGGTAGTCCTGATTTCCTTCTCATTAAATCATACAAACTCTTACAGACACTACAAACCTCCCTCACTTACCACTGCCATGGCCAGACACACTCATTCGTAGGCCAGCAATGCACATCACAAGCACACATGTTCTGGCCACGTGAGCAGACACGCACACAACTGCTGTGTGGTAGGACTGAGCAGGTGCCATGTAAGGGCCCTGTCCCATACTGCCACAACGCCTTCACAAAAGGCCCTGAGGCCCAGCGTTCATTTGTATGATGTTCATTGATTTGAAAATAGTATTTTCGTCCTTCTGTGCTTTTCTGGTGGGCTCAACCTGGACAGCATACTGCTGGCTGGCCACCCACATCTACAGAAACTCTTCGTCTACCCACACCACAGCATTTCCTTCAGAAAAAGAAACTGATGTTTGTTACATATTCACTTTACACAACATGGGCAACACTTCTGGAAAACAATGTATTTGCCATATGTGTACACACACTTAATATATATCAAATGTGTGTGTATACATACGTATATGTGTATATACAGACATGACAAAAGCACTTTTTAAGCTGTACCCTTTGCACAGTTGTGTATACAAAAAGAGCGAGTAATTAATGCTTGGATGGCTAAATAAATTATCAGCAGACAACCCCTGCCTATGTTTAACACAGTAATACTGCATTAGCCATACATAACATTATTTCCTAGGTATTTTCCAGGGGTTTTTCCCTTTTGTTATTTTCAATCACACATCTGGAAATTATGAAATAAATTTCAAAAAAGCTAACTGAAGGTAGCATTAAGAATATACAGGTGTACTATGTGACAACTACAGTGCAAAGATGAAGCATCAAGCTCAAAAGACACCTAAATCTAGACATTTCAGACTGATGATTAAATTCAAAGAAACTATTAAGAGAACAAACTCTGCAGTAAGGACAGAAGTGTGGATCTTTTAGATCCTGGTAAACAAAGCTATTCAACAGAATTATGAAGAAGCTGTTTGCTTTCATTTCCTCAGCTAATTAAAATTGGGTTCAAGTACTACAGCTCAACATATTTGAAATCCTTATAAAATTGTAAAGATCAGAAAGGAGGTAGGAATAGCCAGAAATTATGAACACAGGCAAATTGCATTTCCTCAACAAAAGTAATCGTATTTCACAATACAAAGCTATTCATAGGGAAAATACATTCCCAAAATTATTTAGCATTCCAAGGTTAAAAAACAAAGACATTCTGAAGTCTGAATTAAATGTCGTGAGGAAAAAATGAAAATTAAAAACACTTGTGAATGCATACACAAGCTTATACAAAACTGAAATTTCATAGGAAGTTTAGGAAGATTCACTAAGACTGGATCAAGCAATGAACCAGATACAAGAGCTACAAGTCCAACTTTGAAATATTATTAAAAAAACTGCATTTGTTTGTTACACATTTCATGCTTAATACCAAAATCATATCATTATATTACATAAACAACATCTTACTTACCTTTCTCCACACAAAATCTTTAGATATCTATCCTATTCCACTGCTAAAGCTAAAATAGTATTGCAAATCTGACTTTAAACCACTCTTCTAACCAACACACACGGCAACTATGATTACATTATCTCCCAAGAAAAAACAGCAGCCTCTAATATTTTAACTTGGATCACGATTAAAAGAATCAAATTCTAACGTAATTTGGATTACAAAATTAAATGTAACAATATATAATATTGAGAATAAAAGCAGGAATTTGTACTACTCTTAAGCTTGCAACTTTATTACTGTCATCTGAAGACTTTTAGCTTCTAGTTGAGAAATTGCTGACTTCAACTGCAACACGTTCTGCTAAATGTAAAGCCAGTTTCTTTGCCAGCTACCTCCAGAATATTCTCCTTATAAAGAACCTTCATAAATTGTTCCAAGGTAGTTCAACCCTGCCTTTTCTTTCCAAAGTGTATGCATTACCACCCTGAACCTTTTTGGATATGTATTCTTTCTAAAAGTCTGATTGTTCTTGTTACCCCTCTTGAGCTCTGTTTCTCATTTCTTAAAGCAGGATGCCTGGACAAGGCAAGACCTCGTTGAGGTCTCAGTTACTTAGAATAATTATAAACCACACACCTGTTAACACATCCCAGATTCTTCTTTCCCTCCCCCAAAATTTCCATTCTTATGTTTGATTCAACACTCATTGACCCCACATGCTTTTTCTATTACCTAGTTTTCCCTGGTTTTGTATTCATATGCAATTTTTATGCTCCCCTACAACAATGTTGTGCTCTATGTTTGTGTAATGAATTCCATGCTGTTGACTTCAGGCCACTAATTTCAAGACAGTTTTGAATTCTAACCCCATCTTTAAAAGTATTTGGTATGACTTGTTTTCTAAGCATAGTTTCTGTCTCACCAACCAATTTATTCTTGAATGTGTTAAGAGACCCAAGCTGAAGGAGACCCCTGCATGTCCTCACCTGAGGTGCAGTCTTAACTGAGTCATCCATAATCAATCATCATAGTTTAAGGCAATTACTCCTTTAACAAATGATTCCCAAGCTTTCCCATTGATGAATCACTGCCAGTATTGAGTTCCTCAGACTACCATCTCAAAGTCCTAGCTGAGAACTCTGTAGGAAAAAAAAACCACAATGCTGAATCTCTTGTCAAGAGACTAGGTAGAGAGTAGTACCCAGCAGACCACAACTAAGGAACACACCATGGATTAAGCCTTCTAGAGAGACAGTCTCAAAGGGTTTTTTTTGTAACCAGTTGCACTATGTTGCTCTTCCTCGCTGACTATTTGGCACCACCACTCCCATTCCCTTACTTTGCTACCTTGATGTGGTTGAAGTTTCCAGCATGTACAAAACGCACATCAGCAAGATCCTGTAATAAGTTATGTTGTCTTTCTATGATAAGATGCCCCAAAAAAACACATTCTTTGGGAGACTGTACATAATCTTTGCTACTGAAGGCATTCAAGCAGAAATAAATGTATCAGTAAAAAAGTTCCTCTAAATCCTAATGTTTTATCAACTCTGATAGTAATAATTAATTTGCAGCAACTGATGTTCACAAGAGCTGACAAAATTTCTACCTGGCATCCTACCTAGCAAGCCCACTATTGTATCAGAAATCCCCTAATATAAAAAAAAAAAAAAGATTGTATTCCCTAAGCAATTCCCTATGCATAGAACAACTATCTCCCAAGCAGACCAGGTATTTTTACAGTCCTTCTATGCCTCATCAGCCCCTAGACTCAAAGTAAAAGTAGCAAAGGAAAATAAGAACAAACTGTGCTAAGGACTCAAAGCTGCTGATTAATAAGAGGTTGAAAAGAAGTGTGCCTGATTTTTACAGGGTATGGGCAGCGCAGCATTTAAGAATCTTTCCATGCAAGTTAAAACCTGAGGGAATGCAGTAGTACAAAATTTCCAACTATTATTGTGCTTTTTGTATTTTGTTTTTCCTTTGAAATGTTAAAGTAAAATATGGCAAGACAATTTATCTGACAAAAAAATCTTGCCTTCATTACTGGAGCACATGCATTTGGTTAAACAATTATTTTGCTCAATTAAAAACTAATTTATTATACCATCTTATTAGCAAATGTTCCAATGACTTACTACTATACATTGAATTTGCAGAGCGAGTTACCTTATCACTAGAAAAAAGCCAAAACAAGCTATTGTTAAAGTCCATTTCAACTTAAGGAAATCAAGAAAAGTCTTAGAAAGCTTATACATTCCTCAGACACATGTATATGTGAGTACAAGTGTGTTATATACAGCCTATGCACTGTTTTAAGGAAAACCTCAGTAGTTCCTCATTATACCAAAAGCATGCTTCATGTTAACTTTATTATTATATCTTAAAGTGTTCTTAAAGATTTAAACTCAGCAAAATTCTAAACACACAGAAGAGAGACCTTTCTTTACCAACAATCCTCAACAATTGCTTTGTAATATTGTCTGTGTCTCCAGTAATCTGGCATTTGGTCTCACCTTCAGACCTGCAACCCTGGAAAAAATATCACGTAAATCCTGCAAATTCCTTTTAAAAAAATCACTGTAATTGTTACAATTAAATACTTGTAACCATAAATGTCCAGTCCTGATGATATTTAATTCTGAACTGCCTGTAGAAATCAGCTTCAGTACTTATGCCATACGTGAAAACCAGTTCTCCATTTTGAGACTATCTTTACATACTAAGAATTCCTTTTTTTTTTTTTTTAATTAAACGTTACAGGACACAAAAGCTTCAGACTTCTACATCAGTTAGAAAGCAGCTTAGCCCTGCCCCTTATTCATGTTTTGTTTCTAATGACAGTATTTCATTTCACATCTAAGTGTTAGAGATAACTGCCAGCTGTAAGCGGATTTCCATGAAGATGGAAAACTGTACCTTAGAGTCACCTTTCCCATACCCAAATTAGCTTTCACATTGTATGCCAACACACTAAACAAACCAAAGCACCCCAATAAATGTGGTTCAAAATGTCTTGGTGTTTTAGTTTGCTTTTTAAGAACACGGAGAGGAGCATTTCCTCCTCATTTCATTTTGATATGCATTACCCCACAAACTAAAAGGCAGCTGAAGAGCAAGACTGCATGGTTCAGTGGTTAAAATATGTCAAGGTTAAGAAGTAACTAAAAACTGGATGTTATAATAGAGGACATCTGGTAAGTTTATCTTAAGCAGCAATGCTGAGAGTCAGTTTAGCTATTTGGAGGGAAACTTCTATATCTTCAGACCATACT